AGTTGAATGTATACTGGGCAGTGGCACTTAGAAAAACAATGCTGTAGGGCATACCGGGCAAATGTATACCAGGCACTGAACCTTAGAAATGCATCAGTTGTAGCGTATACCGTGCAGTGGTACTTAACTAGACCTAGTATATATTTCAGACAAAGCGACTTTGTCAACATTCACTGGTGGAAGTCAAAAAAGACCTATTTCGATCATCCACATATGCATAAGAAACAAAAACTATTTTTTAACTGTATTTACACATAGAACGAGTCATTGGTATATGTATTTATTTTGAAGTAGAAATATCAAAATTATTACAAAAAAAAGGATGAAAAAATCAGTCGAAAACAAAAAAAAGTTCATTATATCCAACTTCCTCACTTTTTTGGTTCACTATATCCGGGAGTTCACTATAGCGGGGTTAGACTGTATATATGTATATATATTATATATATATTAATAAACATATAAGGATATATTTTATTATTAGTATTACTATATATTATTAGACAGACTATATAGAATTAAGTAGATTATTTTACTTTTCTTTAGATTATATATATTACCGTGAAGGATCGAAATCAAGAGAATGTCTACTTTCATCGATGCATGTCAACAATCACATAGTCATTTTGATGAATGTCTGAAATATTTCCTATATCCGATTTGATAACTGTTGACATAGTTGATAACACTGAATGTTGATTTCTACATTCTATGTCCGTACCGTTGTTCATGCCAGAAATATTTGTTATATCCGATTTGATATTGATTTATTCGTTAATATTATTACATTTATTCGATATTTTAATTTCTGCAAAGGATAGATTAGGAGAAACATCAGTGTTCTGAGTACAGGTTAAATGCACACCCAGCAGTGGCACTTGACTGTAAGGAACCTCAGGGTAGGGTATACCGGGCAAATGTACACCCGGCAGTGGCACACCCGGCACCGGCAAGTATACCTAGTATATATTTCGGACATTTACGTAAGCGACTATGTGATAGTCAACAGTTACCGGTGTAAATCAACAACCAATTTCGGTCATTCACAGTATATATTATACTATATCAAAAATTAGAAGTATTACAATAATATACATATATAATATTGTAATACTTCTGATTTCTGATATCTAGTTTGGAAAGTTGGCACTCTTTCATCTAAAAATTTTAAATTTTCATTCCTTGATTTAGCAATATTTATTTGTTTTTATTTTGTTCTATTTCTCATAAATTTGTTCCAATTTAAAGAAAAATGTATAAATACAATGTCGGTTTTGTGGTTTTAATACTATGGCACTTGATACCATGGATTTCTTAAAGTGTTTTCTTGAGGTCAAATGCAAATCAGGAATTTTAAATCTATTGTTATATGCTTTATAATTTATATTAGTCATCTGAAATATTTCTTTGTTTTCTCAAATAGAAAGCTTCTAAAAAATTTGATTGTTGGCTTATCATGCAGATTAGATTTTGCATCATTAGTCATAGACAAATAAAATCGGATTAGACTGTTACCCTAATCGTAAAAATCCCCCCCTGCTCTTGAAACTCCCTTCCCCCCCTTGATCACATTTAATTAATCAAAACTGATTCCTTAAAGAATTAATTATAAGAATGGTTTATTGGTTTTCAATTGGTTTGGCGAAAATGCTAAAAAACATGGCTTTATGTAGCATAAAAAATATTTAAAAATTAGAAAAACTAAAGTACATAAAAATAAAAAAGATTGACAGCTATTTTTCATAATTAAAAGATTTTATCATATTTTTATAATTTTTTCTGTGAAACTAGCCAACAGTTCTAAATTGAGTCAGAGTTGAATAATGTCAGAGTTGAATAAAATTGTTAGATGCAACGTTAAGTTTAATGAATGCTGAAATTTTCTTTCATAAAAATTGTGAATAAGGAAAATTGAAATTTATTTACGCTGAACAAAATATAATTTACTCAATTGAAAAACAAATATACAACTTCGAAGACTTTGTCCTAAGTGCAGTTTTTTCCCTGATCAATAATTCTTAAAATTTAATTTCAATTGAGCTTTGAATTTAATAAAAAAATATTTTTAGCAATAACTTTTCTGTTACAGTTACGTGATTTTTAAAATAAAATATAAAACGAAATTTTATTCCAAGGAAGTTTGTTTGAATGTTTGTGTACGTTCATTTATATCGCTCATCATTAAAGTTTTAGTTATAAAAACACTTAACTAAATAAAACAAAGTTAGCACTAATTTTCATGCGTTAGCAAACAAAAAGAATTGATATATATAAATTCTTTATCTGTCTTAAATTAAAATGAAATATTGATCTAAAATTTACAAGTCACCACAATAATTTCGAGCAAATATTTGTAATTAATATAAAGAGATAATAGAAAGTTTTCCTATTTGTGAAATCCAAATAAAATTGTAATTCACGATATGTGTTTTTTATTATTATTAAGGATATGTTTTTAAATTATACAGTGGACAGTTAAATATAATGCTAACGTAACTCTCAAAGCTGGAATTCAAACCTCAAAACCTCAAATAGAAAGCTTCTAGAAAATTTGATTGTTGGCTTATCATGCAGATTAGGTTTTACATCGTTAGTCATAGACAAATAAAATCGGATTAGACTGTTACCCTAATCGTAAAAACCAACCCCTGCTCTTGAAACCCCTTCTCCCCTTGATCACATTTAATTAATCAAAACTGATAACTTAAAGAATTAATTGTAAGAATGGTTTATTGGTTTTCAATTGGTTTGGCGAAAATGCTGAAAAACATAGTTTTATGTAGGCTACATTAACACAGTTTTATGTAGCATAAAAAATATGAAAAAATTGGAAAAACTAAAGTACATAAAAAATAAAAAAGATTGACAGCTATTTTTCATAATTAAAAGAGTTTATTATATTTTTATAATTTTTTCTGTGACACTAGCCAACTTATAAAGTTCTAAATTGAGTTATGTCAGAGTTGAATAAAATTGTTAGACACAAGGTTAAGTTTAATGAAGCTAAAATGCTGAAATTTTCTTTCATAAAAATGACGAGTTGTGAATAAGGAAAAGTGAAATTTATTTACGCAGAACAAAATATAATTTACTCAATTGAAAAATAAATATACAACTTCGAAGAGTTTGTCCTAAGTGCAGTTTTTTTCCCTAATCAATAATGCTCTAAATTTAATTTCAATTCAGTTTTGAATTTAATAAAAAATATTTTTAGTAATAACTTTTTTGTTACAGTTACATGATTTTTAAAATAAAATATAAAATGAAATTTGATTCCAGGGAAGTTTGCTTGAATGTTTGTACACATTCATTTATATCGCTCATCATTACATTTTGAAATTTTCTTGAAAATGCATAATTTTAAAATTTGATATTAAAAATAATTTTTGAAAATAAAATTACAAGCTGATTGAAAATTTTCAATTAACTTGTTTTTGGGAATTTTAATATTTAAATTTATTTTTTCGTTTAAAGTTCTTATAAAATCGTGCCAAAATACAAATTTGAGCTTTGCAGAAGCTTATTGAAATTTGAGCTTATCGAAAATGTGAGCTTGTGACATTACACAAGCCACGAATTGCATTCACAATAATTTTTAACGATATGCAGAATTAACTTGGAATCTCACATAACGATTTGTATAGATTTTAATATATTGTCTATAAATCCTTGTAATTTTGAACTGAACTCAGAAGGCAAAGACACTTTATACCAAAAGAGGAATATAAAGAGATAATAGAATGTTTTCCGATTTGTAAATCCAAATAAAATTGTAATTCATGATATGTGTTTTTTATTATTATTAAGGATATGTTTTTAAATTATACAGCGGACAGTTAAACATAATGCTAACGTAGCTCTCAAAGCCGGAATTCAAACCTCAAAACAAGAGTTCAATATTCAATTCTTGATTTTTTTTTACTAAAAGTTGTGGTTGATTTGGCTAACTGATTTTTTCTCCTTAATTGAAGTAAAGTTTTTCCCCAGGGGGTTTGCTTAATCCTACAATACGGATTTACTTTATTCTTATTTCTTACTATTTTTAAATTCCTATTTTGAATAGCATTTATTTATGCGCATTTCCCTTGAGGAAAAAAAATCACATTTAAAAGTAACTATTTGTTTTTTAAATTTGAAAATAAACATTTTTATTTTTTTTTTAATTTAATTTTTAAATATGCATTAATTTTAAGACTTTTAAATTTTAAAAAAAAATTCAAAAATTTTTCAATTTTAAAATTCAAATTTTATGTTTAGAAGAAAACTGAAAATCAATGGAGAAGAACGGCTTATAACCGTTTTTTAACAAAAATAACGATTGGTTCGTGAATTTTGAGAGTTGCTAAGTTTTGACAAATCATTACAGTGAAAAATTTTCACGAGAGTTATTACATAGTGAGGATAGGCCGTGCTTGAATAAAATGGTCTCTGTCCATAGATAAGAAAAGTATAGTGAGTAAGAAAAGAAATGTGAGGGAATATTTATGGGAAAGAAGTTTTGAAGGAAAAACTGATGCTTTTCCATTCAGATTTTAAAATTGAGCAATTCAAGAACAACCAGATATTCAAATACAATGCCCAACACCCAGAATTGTAAATTTCGTTTTGAAATTTCCAAGGGACGCAGAAAAATGCTTGTGATATTCGTATACATTTTTACCTTTACTATTACAATAATTTTGAAAACTTCCAACACGAGAAATATCTTTCACGGATATAAATCTCCCCCCTTGATTTTTAGTTGTTATTTCATCCGCTTAAATTGTAGGGTTTAGCAAATACGGGCTTCACGTACCCGGGGCCCCAGTGACCTCCATCTTCATTTATATCATTAATTTTTGGCGAAAATCATGGTTGATTCATTGTTAACTTCTATTGACTGGAATCTTATTTTCTAAAAGAAAAGGTTTTTAAATAAGTAACCACAAAACAATATTTTAAGCCTCACTTGCATTTTAAGTAGATAAAAAGTTTTTGGAGTAAATTAAATCATTTTTGCAGAAGCTTATCGAATTTTGAGCTTATCGAAAATGTGAGCTTGTGACATTGCACAAGCCACGAGTTGCATTCACAATAATTTTTAACGATATGCAGAATTAACTTGGAATCTAACATAACGATTTGTATAGATTTTAATGTATTGTATATAAATCTTTCGGTCTTTCACTGTAACATATGCATAAGAAACAAACTATTTTCAAAGGAATGAATAACTGCATTTACACATGGAACGAGTCATTCGATTGCTCATTATGAATCCAGTTTAATTTTCTTCCTCCCTAGAGACTGCAGGAAACTTTTAACCAAGAAATTTAAAATTAAGAACTCCAGTAAGTACCTGCATTCATGAGTGTAATCGGATTGAATAGTAAGAGGTAAGTTTTAATTAATTGAATAGTTAGAGGTAAGTTTTAATTAATGTAAAAAGATTTTTTTACGTGACGATCACAAAATGGTTGTGCATTTTTCTATGTTAAAACGTAAGATCGTACTGGTAATGTATTTATTTATCTTACGTTTTGTTTAATTAAATGGCCATCATTTATTATTGGAATGAATTTAGTTCGGGTCTTGTTTTATTGCCCGTCGCGACGGACCGACGCGTCGGTTATCGTATTTTTCATTCAGGTGCGCCGCTCTCAACATGCGCTCGAGAATCGCCCGCTCTTAAATTATGTGCGACGAATTTCGTTTGTTTCGTTTTCTATATTATTCAAACTTTTTCATCATGTTTTCTCTTACTTCATTTTCCAATTTTATCCTTTTTTACGCTTTTCTTTTTCCAAATGACTAGCGGCGAATTTCATTGGTACCATATCATTGTATTTGCGTTTTCCAATTTTATTTTGTTTTCAAATTAGTGTGTTTTGTGTCCTTTTTTCCCCAATATTTTTCACTTTGCTTTCCAAATCACTACTATTCATGTGTTCACTGATTTGTTTTCCAGTTTATTCATCCTTTTTTGTTCTAGCTTGTTTTCTAGTATTATCTAGTATTTTATCTAGTATTATCCAGTGTGTGTTCCCATTTTTTTCATCCTTTTTTATTCTATTTTGTTTCTTAGTATTTTATTTTGGTGTTATAGTTCATCCAATGTGTTTTACAATTTTTTCATTCTTTGTTTTTTTCTATTTTGTTTTCCAGAACTTTATTCTGGTATTATAATCTATCCAGTGTGCTCCAAATTTTTTTTTTATCATCCAGTGTACTTTCCAATGTTTTTTTTTCTTTCAATTTATGTGTTCCTATTAGTTTCTTTCAATGTGGGTGTCCCATTTTTTAATCAGTGCATTTTTAGTGTGTCTTGCATTTTCCAAGTTTTTCTGCAGCTTTCTCAGAGTGTTTTTTTATCAATTTTTATTTCAATGCGTTTTCTATTATGTGTTCAAATTTTTANGCGACGGGACCGACGCGTCGGTTATCGTATTTTTCATTCAGGTGCAGCGCCGCTCTCAACATGCACTCGAGAATCGCCCGCTCTTAAATTATGTGCGACGAAATTCGTTTGTTTCGTTTTCTATATTATTCAAACTTTTTGCTTTTCTTTCTCCAAATGACTAGCGGCGAATTTCATTGGTACCATATCATTGTATTTGCGTTTTCCAATTTTATTTTGTTTTCAAATGTTAATGCACATTAGTGTGTTTTCTGTCCTTTCCCCCCCCCCCAATCTTTTTCACTTTGCTTTCCAAATCACTACTGTTCATGTATTCGCTGAATTGTTTCCCAGTTTTTTCATCCTTTTTTTGTTCTAGCTTGTTTTCTAGTATTTTATTCTAGTATTATAGTTCATCCAGTGTGTGTTCCCATATTTTTCATCCTTTTTTAATTCTATTTCATTTCTTAGTATTTTATTTTGGTGTTATAGTTCATCCAATGTGTTTTACAATTTTTTCATTCTTTGTTTTTTTCTATTTTGTTTTCTAGAACTTTATTCTAGTATTATAATCTATCCAGTGTGTTTTTTTTATCATCCAGTGTACGTTCCAATTTTTTTTTCTTTCAATTTATATGTTCCAATTAGTTTCTTTCAATGTTGTCCCATTTTTTAATCTGTGCATTTTTAGTGTGTCTTGCATTTTCCAGTTTTTCTGTAGCTTTCTCAGAGTGTTTTTTTTTTTTCGTTTTTATTTCCAATGCTATCACTACTATTCATGTGTTCACTGATTTCTCTTCCAGTTTTTTCATCCTTTTTTGTTCTAGCTTGCTTTCCAGTATTTTATTCTAGTATTATCTAGTATTTTATCTAGCATCATCCAGTGTGTGTTCACATTTTTTTCATCCTTTTTTATTCTATTTTGTTTCTTAGTATTTTATTTTGGTGTTATAGTTCATCTAATGTGTTTTACAATTTTTTCATTCCTTGTTTTTTTCTATTTTGTTTTCTAGAACTTTATTCTAGTATTATAATCTATCCAGTGTGCTCCAAATTTTTTTTGTCATCCAGTGTACTTTCCAATGTTTTTTTTTTTTCTTTCAATTTATGTGTTCCTATTAGTTTCTTGCAATGTGGGTGTCCCATTTTTTAATCTGTGCATTTTTAGTGTGTCTTGCATTTTCCAAGTTTTTCTGTAGCTTTCTCAGATTGTTTTTTTATCTGTTTTTATTTCAATGCGTTTTCTATTATGTGTTCAAATTTTTATCTTCCAATACGTCTTCTGTTTTAATTCATTATAGTTACTCCAAATTTTATTTTCTAATAATTGTTCCAATTTTTATTAATCCAATATGTATTCCAATCTTTTTTTTCCAATATATGCTCCAATTTAGATTTTTCATTGTGTATTCCAATTATTTTTTTCATTCAGCGTTTGTTCCAGTTTTTTTCTCAAAGTATGTGTTAGAATTTTTTTTTTCTTGCAAATCTTTTTCTAATTTTCTTCCTTCACTGTGCGTTCCATTTCTTTAATGCGAGATTATGTAATAATTTTTTTGTTGCATTTTTTCTATATTTTTCTTTAGCTTTCGGAAGATTTGCTTTTTTTTTTTAGCTTGTTTTGATTTTTTTCCATGTTTTTCCTTTGTCTGTTTTAGGGAGATTTTCGATTGGCAATATTTTTGTTCAAGTGAAGTTGATCAAATCCACTTATGATTTTTTTGCTCTATATTGTTTTCGTAACTTCGCTCCCTGTTTTTAAGTGAATCTTTATGTTTTCCGTGTTCAGTATTTTTCTTTTTTCAGTTTTCTGTAGTAATTTTAAGAACTTCTATTAGGTATTTTTATTTTTCCAATTTTCGTTTCTCCAACTTTTAACACATTATTTTTTTTATGCGCTTTCCAATTTTATTCATCGTGTTTCAGCTTTTTGAGTGTTTTGTTTCATTCCTATGTATGTGTCTTTGTATATGTATGTTTTTATTAAAACTCTGGTTTAATTTTCATCCCTTCCATTTCAATTTCCAATGTACATTTTGGTTTTGTTTGTATTGTTCGTTCTGTTTTTATCTCAAATGTGTGTTGATGTTTTCACTTCAAATGTGTTTCTTTTTCAAAGAATGTTTTTTTCCAGTAAGTGTTTTGTATCTTTCCTTTTTTTCCCCTTATATTCTTTATTTTTTCAAGTAGTGTACTATTTCTGTAATTCTTGCAGATGTTTTTCGATTGTTAATATTTTCTTTAAATTAAAGTTGGTCAAATCCACTCATGTTTTGTTTTCCCTATTTCGTTTTTCATATCTTTTCTCTTAGTTTATATGTGAATCGTTTTTTTCCCCGAACTCTGTATTTTTCGCTTTTCAATTTTTTGAGTAATTTCCAAATTTTTGTATTCAGTCTGTTTTCTTTATTTTCCTATTTTTTTCCAGTTTTTTTTCACAACGTTTCTTGATATGCTTTCTAGTTTTATTCATTATGGTTCACTTTCTATTTTTTTTTTAATGATTTGTTCTATTCCTAGGTATGGGCTAATTTTTTTAATGTTTGTTTTGTTTTAATTTCCAATACGCATTCTGCTTTTGTGTCAATTCTTTTTTTTGTTTTTATTGTACATTCTGTTTTTATCTTAAATGTGCATTCTTTTTTTTTACTTCAAATGTTTGTGTGTTTCTTCCCAGTGAGTGTTTTGTTTTTCCAATTGCTTTTACTTTTTTCCAGAAGTTTTCTTTTTTCAAGTAGTCTACTATTTCTTTCTTCAATGTTTTACTAAGATGTTTTTCGATTGATTTTCATCCAATTTACGTTGATCAGATCCGTTCATGTTTTATTTTTCCTATTTCGTTTTTCATAATTTCCCTCTTTGTATATGCGAATCTTTTTCTCCAGGATTACGTTTTTTTCTGTCTTCAATTTTTTGAGTATGGTTCAAATTTTTGTATACAGTATTTTTTTCATTGTGATTTTTGATTTCTCCACTTTTTCAATGATTTTTTAATGTTTTTCAGTTTCCGATGTGTGTTTGTTCCAATTTTCTAATGTGTGCTTTTTAAAAAAAAAAATTTCCGTGTTTTTCGATTGGTGACACAATGACCAAATGAATTTTTTTCCATCTAAATTTCGTTTCTGATTTCTCCAATTTTTTTCACCATGTTTTCAAGCTTTTTTCATTGTGTTCCAGATTTTAACAATTTTTTTTATTAATATGTATATCCTGCTTATTTTTAATGCATGTGCTGTTTTTTTATGTCTAATTTTTTAAATATTTTTTGTTTTTATTTTCAATGTGTTCTGTTCCTACCTCCAATTTTTGTGCTGTTTTCATTTCCAATGATTTTCTATATAATTTCTAAAATATTCTGTATTTACTTCGAATGTGTTTTTATTTGTTTTGTTAATTGAATATGTATGTTTTTTTTTCGATGAGTGTTTTTTTTCCAGTTGGTGTACCATTTTCCCTTCAATGTTTTTTCATCCCTTTCTTTTATGATGTGTGCTCTAGTTTTTCTGATTGGTAACATTTCCGCTCAAGTGCACCCGATTAAATCCATTCGTGACCATCGGTCTACTTTGTTTTCCTTATCTTCCATCTTTCGCATTCGTTTTTCTGTTTTTTTTTTTTTAATATTTAGTCCAAGTATTTCCGATTTTATCATTATGTCATGTCTTCCAATTCTTTGCAAATTTTAATTTTCATGTTATTAATTTTATGTAATTAATTTATATAATTATATTTGATATAATTATATTTTATGTTATTAATTTTATTTTTTACAAATTCTTTTCTCATTTCTTTTCAAATGTGTTTCATAGAAAAAATTTTTTCTTAAGTTCATTTTTTTCTGGTTTTTATCTAATTTATTTTATTGCTTTTTAACCTTTTTTTTTAGCTCTTTTCATCAAAAATTTGGGTAAGTTTAATGATTTATTATGCTGTGTTTCAGTTGTTTCCAATATCTTTAACTTTTTCCAATTTTAATTTCTTTTCATATGACCTGTACAATTTTTGAAACTTACCATGTCTCTAATTTATCATAAACCTACGTAATTTATCTTTATAGCATACATTTCTGCTTAATACTTTGACAGAGAGGAAGAATCTGACAAAATAGGATCTGTTATGTTGCTTATAATCTGCCTAACGCAGATTAATTCCAAAATGATCCTGTATGACTGACTGCCTGATATAGACCTAACTACGCAAGAAAATTTATTTTGGAATATTGCCATTTTATTTGTAAGTAAAACATTTTTCAATCTATTTTATCGACTATTTAAAATCTTGCTATTAATTTTAAAACTAAATACACATTGCACAAAGCAGTGGTTTTTTTATTTTTTATTGTATAATTTTTTTATGCTAATATGCACTATACGAGAAATTTAATAGATATAATTCTAAATAACTTTTGTTCTAGTAACCAGATCGAAGGTTGATTCATTTTGGTACAAAGAAAAGTAACATCAAATGTGCAAATTAATTAACTATTAATTAAGTTAGACAAACAATTCAACTTCCCTTGAATAAATGTACTTTTTTTCTCGCAAATTATGGAGTTACCGTGATTGAAAAAGTAGTTCAGTCAGAGGAGCCGCCGTAATATCTCGTTTCAGTCAAAATGACGAAGTTTTGCTTTCTATTTCCTCATGGTCGTGATATTTCCAGGCTGATAGTGTTAAAAAGTAATACGCGAAAAAAAGGTTCAGACAATCTATTTCTTATGCCCCGAATCATATATATTTCTCAAGATCAGATTAAAGTATTAGATTATTTTAGTTTAGAGATAGATAGTTTTTTTAAGCTAGATGTCAGCGCTCATCGTTATTTTATTTTAAGCTAAAAATTTGTTCAAAAATTAAAAAAGATATTGTTCACACACTTAATTTTATACTCTCTATGCCCGAAAATGCTTGCTACATTTGATTACTTTAATACTGATATTGATGATTTCGCTTGAACATTATTCAGAGATTTCAGGATGTTATGCTATCAATCAACAAAATTTATTTACCAATCATTCTTTCCTTAAACCATCCAAGTCAAAATTTTCCATTGATGAACCAACATGATCTTGATGGTAACCGTCAATGAGCCATTTTATCATGAACCATTATATTTTTCTTTGGTAAACAGCATAAGTAACCATCTCCCCAATGTATGAATTCTGACAGATTTGTGATTGTCCAACATTGGTATAGCAACTAGTTTTGTTGTTTTTCTCATGCCAAATCATCAGAAATTTCCATCATGGTTTCTTAGAAATAAAATGTTGGAATGATCATGAACAACTATCACCCCAAAGTACAAATTCGGACTGATTTATGAGGGGACAACATAAAAAATCCCGAATTGTTTTGATGGATTATTCCAGAGAACAGATGGAAATTTTGACTAAATCATCATGGAAATGTATAGTAGGAACCATCACGGATTGTTGTTCCATGAGAATCAAACCTGCCTTGATGGTTAGACATCATAATAATAAAGTAGCATTTTCCATCATGGAATGATGCAGGTTTGCTGGCTGGGATATCAAATATTATGAACGCATAAGGGAAAATGTTGGATGATGGTGACCTTCAAATGATATTGGACCATCATGAATCGCACTGAAACCAACAAAAACCATCAAAATAATTTGAGATATCAAGAATACTGGGTTAAAAAATTTAAAAAAAAATTCAAAATGCCGGGGTTCACATGCCCTTAACCCATATTGAAAGGACTTATCTACCAACAATAGCGTAAAAACTTTTTTCTAGACAAATGAATCATAAATTAAATAGTTGTATAATTTTACTGGTGTTGGTAAACTTAACTGCGTTGATATTCACTCCTCCTACTTGAAATGTAGTGACTAATTCGAACCAGATTTTTGATCTAAATGTAGCAACTAATGTGAAAGGGGAAGTCTAATTCTGTTGAATGAAAAAGAAAGAAAAGCGCTCTTATAATCGGTTTCTTCAAAATTATAAGATCATTAAATGNAAACTTTTTTCCAGACAAATGAATCATAAATTAAATAGTTGCATAATTTTACTGGTGTCGGTAAACTTAACTGCGTTGATATTCACTCCTCCTACTTGAAATGTAGCGACTAATTCGGACCAGATTTTTGACCTAAATGTAGCAACTAATGTGAAAGGGGAAGTCTAATTCTGTTGAATAAAAAAAAAGCACTTTTATATAATCGTTTTCTTCAAAATTATAAGATCATTAAATGATTATTCTTAATTTTTGTTTTTGCATATTTCGTAATTTGTCAGAATTGTTTTAAGTTCCATTAACCATTTTCGTTTGTCATTAAAAAAAACTGCAGTCAAAACAAGTTTTAGCCGAATTTTAACCTAGAAAACACAAGATTGAATTTATCTTCAAAAATTAAAATTGTTTCCCCACGGGAAAAAGTTTTGTCTAAACAAGTTTTCGCCAGAAAGAAAGAAAGAAGTGTGAAATTAACCTATTTATGTTAGAGCAATAGACCAACAAATATTTTCGTTGGTCTGATATGGTAAAAAAAGTTTTAAATAATTTTTGATCAAACAATCACTTCAACCGTTATTGGGGAGCCTATCAAAATTTTTTTTAGTCCAACTGTTAAAAGAGTTACAGCCAAAATGAATTGTATCTAATTTCTGATGAATTGACTATTTCTTATATAACCAAAAATTTTGATTTCGAGCAACATTTGAAATTATTCCACGATACGTTAGCCCATCGAACAAAATCGTTATTCCACTAAAATGTTTCGTCAGCCCACCAAATTATTCTGCAAATAGAATATATTTCACTTATCGACATTTTGTAATCCAACTTAACAACGAAGGAAAAACCACATGAGCCTGTATGTAAGCTTCTCTATACATGCTTGAATTTCATAACCAATCTCATGAATCGCATTTTAAAACACTTAAATACTTTTGAATACTTATTTATATCTAATTTTTAATTTAGCTTTAATGTTCCGTGTACAAATTCCAAACATTCTGTCTAATAATCTAATTTTCAACAACTAATTGGAAGTTTTAATGGTTCCAGAGGGGATTACCAAAATGCTATTTAATTAGTCCTAACAATTCATTAAATTACGAAATCAAAGACAAAAAAAAAATGATTTATCTGAATAAACAGACATTTTTTTACATATTTGGATACCTGACCCTCAAAATATGGGAGGTAGAAAAAAATTTGAAAAAAAAATTTGATTATAAATTGGATTTTTTATATTTGGTCACTGTCGTAAAAAAAGGTCAAACAATATTGCAACAGTAGGTCGATTAATTTGAGATAATTATAAACTAAATATATGATTCTAAAGAGAGAAATGCATATTGTTTCAGAGTAAAATAGCAATCAAGTTTAAACAATAAAAAAGAATGAAATAAAAACTAAAATTTTTCTTTCAATGTTTTGGATATAAAAAA